AGCTTGAGGCTCGCTCCCAAAAAAAAAAAAAAAAAAAAACTAGGATGTAAGATTGGGGGAAGACATGAGAGGCCATCCTAAGAAAGGGGTGGGTTCTCTGTGACCCTGTCAAGACCCCCGGCCTAAGGGAGCCAGCCTAAGAAGAAGGCCCACCACAAACAATGGGTTCAGGGACCTTCCTGAGTCTCACTCTGCTGCCCAGGCTATAGTGCCCCAGTCTTAGCCTAGCTCACAGCAACCTCAAACTCCTAGGCTCAAGTGATCCTCCTGCCTCAGCCTCCCCAGTAACTGAGACTACAGAGGCCCTCCACAATGCCTGGCATTGGGCTCAGAACTTTGGCTTGTCACTCTTGTTACCCCTGCAGAGTCTTTTTGAGTGGGCTTTCCAGAGTAGGGACTCTGAATAGACAAATCGTTCAAATTGGAAACACAGACTTTGAATCCAGACAAATGAGTCAAAATCCCAACCTTACCCCTTAATATTAAATGCTGTGGTCTCAAATGAGACACTTCCCTACTCTGAAGCTTATTTTCCTTATAATGAGAAAGGGGATCATAATTCCCACCACAGCATTGTTGTAAGTATTGATCTTAGACCAGCTCCTTTAGGAGTTTGTAGAAGAACAGATAAGGGATGTGGCTGTGTAGGGTCCCTCCTACCTCTGTTTTCTTTAGGTGTCCTGACCACTCTGTGATCCAGCAGGTTTTTCCCAGGAGGTTTAAACCAAAACTGTGGTCTTGGACATTCTCAGGCACTGATAAAAAGTATCCAGGGTGGGGTGGACCTGTGGCTCAAAGGAGTAGGGCGCTGGCCCCATATGCTGGAGGTGGCGGGTTCAAACCCAGCCCTGGCCAAAAACTGCAAAAAAAAAAAAATAAAGGTATCCAGAGTGTTGCCTAAAACACTGAAAGAAACCTCAGCCTCTCCAGTAGCTGGGACCACAGGCACCCGCCACAACGCCCAGCTATTTTTTGGTTGCAGCCGTCATTGTGGTTTTGGCGGGCCTGGGCTGGATTTGAACCCACCACCTTAGGTGTATGTGGCTGGTGCCTTAGCCACTTGAGCCACAGGCGCCGAGCCCAGACATTCTAATAAATGC